ATTAAAAAAATGGAATAGGTATAGTTTACAATCTGAAGTTTATATGAAATTAATAACGGATATTGTACTACTTAAAGTTTCAGAAAAATAAAAGATTTTCTATTTGCGGTTGGTCATCAAACAGCTGCAAACAAACCAGCAACAAAATTATCTTTGTAACACTAAATACCTAAAATTTAAACGTTGACTACGAAACCCTATTTGTGGGCGTGTGTGACACGCTCCTGGCCAGTTTTTTAAAATTCTCTCATGTACAAGATACCTAAGTAACATAACGTACCAACTTTTTACCACGGGAAAACATCTCATTCCTGCGGTAAAACGAAATATACAGACAGATATCTAAGCTTTATTAGCGCAGTTAAATAAGACTTATTTTGTAAAACACTATTTAAAATTTGTATGATTAAAAACTGAAAATTAATATTTTTGCCCACATAAAAAATATTTTTGCTCACCATAAAATATCTTCATGTTGGTTTTTGGGTATCGACTAAGGTGTTATTCTTGAATGTGCTTTGGTATTTATACCTGTTTATTATTCAGATCGAAAAAATTAAAGCAAAAAAAAATATTGATTCTTAAAGAAAATAGGTAATTACATGGAACATTTTATTATTATATATGTACAATTTAATTTACATTATATGTACAATAATTTAATTTACATATATACATATTTTAAGAATGTTTTACGAATGTACAAACATACACAATGTCTTCAAATTACACACTTACATAAATGGAAAGAAGTAATTCTATTTTTTACCATTCATGCATACTGCTCTGATTGTGCTTGGTACTAAACAGATTTTACTACGGCTATAGAACAAGGAAAACCATGGCCACAGTAAGTCATTTTTTTCTTACGTAGGTTAGAATTGACCGTACTACACAGCGCGGCCACGGTCACGGATCGGGTCCAAATTTTGTAGAATAATTGTACCTAAATTGTACTATTTAGTACCTCAAGAGAAAAAAATTGTACCTCTCAATTTATTGAGATATTGATAATTTATGTGGCCGCGCCTGGAAGCATCCTTCCTGGCGCGGCCACGCTCATATCTCACGAATGTTTAGATATTATCGAAAGCGAGATATGCCAAAAAAATGTACCTAAATTGTACCTCCCAAATACCTATTCTCACAAATCTAGCTAAATGGATAGTCCATAAAAAATGATCACAAACTTTCCCATACACCAAATTTTCCTTTGAAAAAGCCGTAGAGCCGTGACCAGTCTAAGAGGGAGGTCAAGTTACGCTCAGCTCGCAATATTCAGACAGTACGCGACCAGCATAACTTGACCTCATGCTTAGGCTGGCCATGTTACTATGATAGCGAGGACCTATTTAATAAGATTTCAATGAACAAGTATGTATGAGTTGGAGTAGAGGTCCCATTGGTCGAAAATGACAAAATGGCGATTTCAAAAATCCCCTGCCCGTTACTTATGACGCGGGCGTTATTCCTGATCCTGATGACAACTGTCAAACTTAAAACTAGATTATCTCAGAAACCACGCGTGCTTTAGTACTACTTCTTAGGGTAAGTTATAGGAAATGATGAGAGCCACATTTCGGATGACAGCTGTCAAACTTACAACTTGACTATCTCGGAAACTACACATGCTGGAGTACTACTTTCTTAGGGAAAGTTGTAGGAAATGATGAGAGCTACATTTCGGATGACAGCTGTCAAACTTACGACTTGATTGTGGCTCTGGAACTGTGCATGCTACACTACTAGTTTCGTTGGAAAAGTTGTAGGTCTTTCAAACTTTAAAATCGTTTATCTCGTTAAGTGTGAATGCTACACTATTGGTTTCTTTGGGAAAGTTGTAGGCCTTAACGAGATCTACATGACAGGTGTCAGCTGTCATACTAAAAAGTAGTTTTTATCGGAAATTATGCGTGCTAGACTATTGGTTTCTTTGGGAAAGTTGTAGACCTTAACGAGATCTACATGACAGGTGTCAGCTGTCATAATAAAAAGTCGTTTATATCGGAAACTATGCGTGCTAGACTATTGGTTTCTTCGGGAAAGTTGTAGGTCTTGCCAAGATCTACATTTTAAGTGACAGCTGTCAAACTTTAAACTCGTTTATCTCGTTAACTGTGCAAGCTACACTACTAGTTTCTTTAGAAAAGTTGTAGGTCTGAATGACATCTACATTTTAAGTGACAGCTGTCAAACTTTAAACTCGTTTATCTCGTTATTTGTAAATGCTACACTACTAGCTTAAAATGTAGATCTTGGTAAGACCTACAACTTTTCCAAAGAAACTAGTAGTGTAGCTTGCACAGTTAACGAGATAAACGAGTTTAAAGTTTGACAGCTGTCACTTAAAATGTAGATCTTGGCAAGACCTACAACTTGCCCGAAGAAACCAATAGTCTAGCACGCATAGTTTCCGATATAAACGACTTTTTAGTATGACAGCTGACACCTGTCATGTAGATCTCGTTAAGGTCTACAACTTTCCCAAAGAAACCAATAGTCTAGCACGCATAATTTCCGATAAAAACGACTTTTTAGTATGACAGCTGACACCTGTCATGTAGATCTCGTTAAGGCCTACAACTTTCCCAAAGAAACCAATAGTGTAGCATTCACACTTAACGAGATAAACGAGTTTAAAGTTTGAAAGACCTACAACTTTTCCAACGAAACTAGTAGTGTAGCATGCACAGTTCCAGAGCCACAATCAAGTTGTAAGTTTGACAGCTGTCATCCGAAATGTAGCTCTCATCATTTCCTACAACTTTCCCTAAGAAAGTAGTACTCCAGCACGTGTAGTTTCCGAGATAGTCAAGTTGTAAGTTTGACAGCTGTCATCCGAAATGTGGCTCTCATCATTTCCTATAACTTACCCTAAGAAGTAGTACTAAAGCACGCGTGGTTTCTGAGATAATCTAGTTTTAAGTTTGACAGTTGTCATCAGGATCAGGAATAACGCCCGCGTCATAAGTAACGGGCAGGGGATTTTTGAAATCGCCATTTTGTCATTTTCGACCAATGGGACCTCTACTCCAACTCATACATACTTGTTCATTGAAATCTTATTAAATAGGTCCTCGCTATCATAGTAACATGGCCAGCCTAAGCATGAGGTCAAGTTATGCTGGTCGCGTACTGTCTGAATATTGCGAGCTACCTCCCTCTTAGACTGGTCACGGCTCTACGGCTTTTCCAAAGGAAAATTTGGTGTATGGGAAAGTTTGTGATCATTTTTTATGGACTATCCATTTAGCTAGATTTGTGAGAATAGGTATTTGGAAGGTACAATATAGGTACATTTTTTTGGCATATCTCGCTTTCGATAATATCTTAACATTCGTGAGATATGAGCGTGGCCGCGCCAGGAAGGATGCTTCCAGGCGCGGCCACATAAAGTATCAATATCTCAATAAATTGAGAGGTACAATTTTTTTCTCTTGAGGTACTAAATAGTACAATTTAGGTACAATTATTCTACAAAATTTGGACCCGATCCGTGACCGTGGCCGCGCTGTGTAGTACGACATACTATAATAAGAACAAAACAAAAATAAATTATAAGTAAAAAAAACACGCATAATTATTTAGATGCTCTAAGATTATAATCTATGTATTAACTTCAATTTTTTTTAACTTATAATGCCACTACGTTTTCACAATTTAATATGATATACTTAAAAGCTTGTCGCGAGATAAAAGTGTGTGACTTAGTTTAAAAGTTAATTAACACAGGTTATCTAATTTATTACACTCAGTGAGCTATGGAAAGGTCTATGCTCGGTATCTCTATAATAGATAAAAACCGGAATGAGGCTATCCGAAAAAGGACCAAAGTGACGGACATAGCAAGCTGAAGTGGCAGAGGGCTGGTCACATTTGTCGTAGAACCGATGGATGGTAAACGCCTCGGTAAGGGTAGCGTTGGACGCTCACCGGTCAGATTGACCGCTGAGGCCGACTTAAAAAAGGCGGCTGGTAGCGACTGGATGGTAAAAACGGGAGATCGTGCTATTATTATGGCTACGTTCAGCAGTAAAATGTAATAGGCTGAAATAGAATAGAAATAGGCTCCTACAGGTAGAAATATGGTTTACTAGCTTTCTGTCCCGCGGTTTCACCCGCGTCTTAGTGATTCTTCTTATTCATTCAGTCAATTTGGGCTTAGTTACTCACCAAGAGATGTCGCTGTTAGTTTCTAAAACGCCAATCGGCTCAGTCGCGCCACCTATTTCAAAAATATTGGAAAATGCGTGATCCCGTGGGAATGAGACATTTTTCCGTGGTAAAAAGTAGCCTATGTGTTATTCTGGATGCTCTTCTATATTTGTGCAAAATTTCATGTCAATCTAATCAGCCGTTTTTGCGTGATGTCGTAACAAACACACACACAAACATCCGCCTTTATAATATTAGTAGGATAAAGAGATTCTTTAGGTTTTATTGCGACGTATTTTGACGTTTGGTATGGTGGGAGTGGGAGTAAAAAGTGTCATCAACATCTATGAGATGAAAAGTGATTATTTTAAAGCTTTGGAGTCCGTCTGCCTATCTATCTGTCATGCAACACCAAGAGCACGGCTTCACTTTAAAAAAAAACAGAAACGACTCTACTATAATAGTTTTTTATCTTCTGTTGGCACATGAACATCCCTTGGCGAGACGAAGTTCGCGGGCACCAGCTAGTTAAATAATAATATCTACAATAACCTTATTTAATCATCTCAATCCTACTGCTGGGAAAAAAAACTGAATACACTTATTTTTTAATAATTTAATTACCTAGGCAAATAAAGAAATCATTATTTTTATGTTGAGTTTCTTTGAATACGAAAGAAATTTTTTCAAAACATATTTAAATACAAATTTTAAAATTTATCTCCTGTGAATGTTCCATAATCTTCAATCCTCTCCATTACCGCAATCTACGTCCTGAAAAAAAGCATTACTTTTCTTCAAAATGGAAATAAAAAAAGTGAAAATTAGAAATAGAAAAAATTACATGCATCGACCGGGGAACGAACCCGGGCCGCATGGGTAAACGCCCCACCGCTCTGCCACTGAGCTATCGATGCACGGCCGATGAATGCCAAATTTTCTATCTCTTGATACTCGTCTCCAAGCGACGATCCAGCGACATCTGTAGAAAGTATTTAGAACTTACTACATGGTTAGTCCACATTATGAGTGGAATTCAAACCATAATTATGATGAAGCTTGCTTAATCAATCTATTGGGATTGTAATGCACTCACAGTGCTATATTATTCTCACAAGTGAAAATAAGACATAGAAAAAATGTGACATGCATCGACCGGGGATCGAACCCGGGCCGCATGGGTAAACGCCCCACCGCTCTGCCACTCAGCTATAGATGAACGGCCGATGAACGCCAAATTTTTCATGGTCGATGCATGTCATTTTTTCTATTTCTTATTTTCACTTGTGAGAATAATATAGCACTGTGAGTGCATTACAATCACAATAGAGGAAAATAAAAAGATTGTAAATCTGCGGCTAAAAGTAAATTTTCAAAAAAGACGCCGGCATTTGAAGGAGTATGAACTATCGCTAGCAAATCCACTACTGGTTTTTCTTATCATAATAGCCACATCAGTCCACTGCTGGATATAAGCCTCCCCCTATTGCCATTCTCACCATGCTTGGCAAGCGGATTGACGAGCACAGATTAAGATTTTGCATGTATAATGAATGCTGCTGCCCATAACCTTGAATGATTATCCCTAAGTCGCTTTTTGCGACACCCACGGGTAGAATTGGAGTGATACTATTCTATGTCGGCATCACACGATAAGATGTCGAGTAATGCGAATTTTTCATACAAACACTTATATAAACATATAAACACTTATATAAACATGAAAAACTAGTATAAGTTGGCCCCCTAACTTTTTATTTTATTTTATTAGGTAAATACAACAGGTAACAATCATTGATGCCTATTATAGATGCATTTTTGTGTTTTCGGCGTTGGTTTCAAATTTTATAATAAAACATTTATAAAAAACGTCCAATAACGGTTATTTCTGTTTTGCTTACCAACAGAATGCGTTGTAAGACTCAAAACAGCTTAATATAAAAAAGGGTAAAGAAACGTTTTAGATTGATTTATCGCCCCCGAAAACCCTTAAATGCAATATTTCTATAAATATGTTGTAGCCGTTCCCGAAATCCCAAAAATATTTAATATTTACAAATTCTTGCTCGCTTAAAGTATAAAAAATACTTACAGGACAGCCCCTATTATAATGACAGTAGCAAGGTTTCTCCGGGGGCTCGAATCTTCCCGCAGCTGCTACAGCTCCAAGCATCGACGCCAGGATCACGATCAGCGAGTAGACTTGAAAATAATAAAAAAATACAAAGAACCATGCCCGTTCTAGTATCTATGGATGTTCGTCCATTGCTTGCCTCACTACTTGCAGGCCTCGCTTCAAAGCAAAAAATATATATTATGAAGTCTAATAATTATTGCTTAACATTTTGTAACTGAAAATAATTCAATTAATTATAACTATTAGGCATAATTTATATAAGGTCCTATTAAATTCACTGCAAATATATTAGGGGCAGATCAAATAAAATATAAGCATGTACTAGGCAAATTTTTAAAGAAATCTACATGCTAGTTTTCGAGAAGACTACATTTAACTAAAAAAAAAACGAAACGCAAAAAGTGCACCCTGTTTGTCCTAGGAACACACACTTCAATGAATTTAAATTACGCGCCGTGCTGTAATATGTTGGTTGGTAGTGTGCGTGCCGTGTAAGTGAATCCTGTTTACGTGGCGGAACGTCAGTCGGGTCAGTCAAAGGGTGTTCACATAATTAATTAAAAAGTTTGTTTGAAAATGAAAAAAAAAAACCTAGCGTGTAGATTTTTTTTAAAATGCCTTAGATGTTTTTCTTATACATATTTACGCATGCCCTTAAAATATTTGCAGTGAATTTAATAGGACCTTATATTTAAGATGCCTGGTGGACCCTGATGAAATTCTCAACCTCTTGATGCTCAACTCAAAGCGACGATCGAGCGACATCTAGTATTTTACAACTAAATACTTTGGTCAGTCCACATTAGGCGTAGAGTTTAAACCATACGATGAAGCTTTTTGCTTAATCCAATGTACTGGGATTTTTAATGCACTTACAGTGCTATTTATTATTCTCAAAAATTTAAAATAAGAAAATCGAAAAGCATCAAGAGGTTGAAAAATTCACCAGGGTCTACCAGGCGCCCGTGGCTCAGTTGGCAAAGCGGTGGTTCAAGTCTCGGCAGGCGCTAATGAATTTTAAAATTTTCTCTTTTTAAATTTATGATAAAATATAATTATTTTTGCTTACCATAAAAGATCTTCATGTTGATTTTCAAGTATCGAGTAAGGTGTTCTTCTCGAATGTGCTTGCTTATTAATACTTACTTTGGTATTTATACAGATTAAAGTAACTCAAGCAAAAGAAAATATATATTCATTCTCAGAGAAAAAAGTTAATCAAATGGAACACTTATCATTGTGTAAAATTTGCATACATAAATATTTGAAGGATGTAGGGTAAGTCCCGGATATATGCCCCAGCGGGATATGCGCCTCGGTGCAGTTGTGTGAAAAGTAAAACACATACAAAAAAAAAAACTGTATTATACAACTGCGCACCTTCTTCCCAAAGCCTATCATAAAAAGTTGGTGTGTGCGAGTGTGCGTCGGAGTGTCATAGATGGTGACGTGTCAAACTGCTGGCCAAAGGCAAACTAATTACACATTTTTTAATAATAGTTTAATTACCCTGGTAAGTAAGAAACGCAACGAGCATTAAGTAGGCACTTAAGTACTAATAAAAAACATATTTTTGTGTTCAGTTACTTTTAATATGAAAGAGATTTATTCAAACATGTTTTAAAATTTTAAAATTTTTGCGTTGGTGCATGCATGTTCCATAATCTTCAATCCTCACCCAATTTGCCGCAATCTAAGCCCTGAAAAAAAAGGATTATTTTCTTCAATACGGAAACAAACTTGCTTGTTAGCCTATGACGAAAAGTAAATTTTCAGAAAGTCTCCGGCATTTGAAGGGTAGGTTGTAAAATCGGAAGCAAATCCACCTACCAACTTAAGGGCTAGCTTATACTGGGTTTTCATACCATTACCATAACTGCCACTACAGTTCACTGCTGGACATAAGCCTCCCCCTATGAGAGAGTAGGTGCCTATTGCCATCCTCATCACGCTTGGCAGACGGATTGGCAAGCAGAGTTTAAGATATTGCATTTACAAGGAACGCTGCTGCCCGTTCCCTGGGTGATTATCCCTCAGTCTTTTTTTACGACACCCACGAGTAGAATTGGGGTAATGCTATTCTAAGCCAGCATCACAAGATTAGATGTCGTGTAATGGTTTTCCATACACATACTTAGAAAAACCCTTCTAGGTGGAACTGTTGGTAAAAATACAGTACCTATCTACAGTTATCTGGGACAGCGCCGAGTGCTCTCTTCATACCCCAAATACAATCAGATCGCGCGTGTACTGCACCTTCGTAGTTTTTATTCCTTTTTTGTAAGTAGATCTACAAAATACTTACAGGACAATAGAATTCCTTATACTCGCAGAAGCATTTTTTTTCCGGGTCGTGGTACTGTCTTGAAGGTGCTGCATCTATGAGCATCAAGGCCAGGATCACGATCAGCGAGAAAACTTGAAAATAATAAATAATAGCAGTTAGCACAAATTTGTTGTACTTACGGGCTAAGAATACTTCCACCCTTTGTCCACAAAGGATGTTTTGTTACCTCGTGAAGTGAAAGATGTTTTTTGACCTCAGGTATGGTCATCCGCATATTGGTGGTAATACCACCTACAAAAGAATTCCCAATGAGGGTTGACGTCAAACATTGCAAAATCCTTTTTCTAGGTTTTTGCCAGTGCCAGTTTGCCGGCCACTATAAGTTGTTGGCCACTTCCCAGTAATTCGCTCCGAATATGAAAACGTTTTGTAAATAATTAGAAAAGTCATTGCCTTTCAAAACTTTTCAATGAATCCCATCACATTTAAAGTTAGTATTATAACTGTTAAATTGATTCGACAGTATATTTTCAAAATTGGGAAGTGAAATTGTGTGCAAAATCAGGCAGAAAAACTTGCTGCATCATTCTCGACCCAATTTTTGATACAAATATATTTGGCCGACAACTGGCTAATTTATACTCCATAATTTTTTGCTCGAACAAAACATGATCTAAAGTTAAAGACAGGCAGATAATGAGAAAAGTATGCTTATTTTTATCAATCCTTGAAATACTGTTCTAGTTTTGGTTCCAGCCGATCATAATCCACATTCTTTACCCTATTTTCAACACTAAGTTTATTCGGAATGGTTGGAACGAGAACTGTACCGAAAGAAACGGAAAGATATCTAAGGTTTCTATGTATAAAAAAAAAATTTTGATTGACCCTCATATTGTAATACCTTTTAATTTTAATTTACAATAAAAGAAATGAATATTACTGACTATTTATCCCAGCATAAAATAAATTTTTGCTTACCAAAAAAGACCTTCATGTTAATTTTCAAGTATCGACTAATTTGCTGTGGTACTTATACCAAGTTTTTACTTACTTTGATATTTATACAGATCGAAGTAATTAAAGCAAAATAAATATATATTGATTCTCAGAGAAAACAGTAAATTAAATGGAACACTTATCATTATGTACAATTTACATACATAAATATTTCAAGGATGTAGGGTAAGTTCCGGATATATGCCCCAGCGGGATATGCGCCTTGGTGCAGTTGTGTGATAAGTGAAATACACACACAAAAAAATACCGTAATAATTATAATACAGTATTAAACAACTGCGCACCTTCCCCCAAAGCCTACCACAAAAAGTCAGTGTGTGCGAGTGTGCGTCGGAGTGTTATAGGTAGACGTTATCGAGTCAAACTTGTGTGAAACAGGCGCAACTTCACTTTATGGACAAATTTCGGCCTTCTAGAACTTTGGATTTAAAAAGTAGAAGTAGATAGGTGTACTTTTTTAATCAAGGACAGAT